GTGTGTTAGTACGAGAGAGAGAGAGAGAGAGAGAGGACATTGGGGATTTGGTGGCATTCGGAGTCAGACTAGACCTTTGGACATAGACATTGCAGGGGGGCTATTTGTGGGATCAGCATCGACAACATTTTGAGTTGTTGCCATCTCTCCTTCCTTCCCCCCTTCGTCTCTTCTCCCTCCTCCTCATCTGCGCATGTTGGAGCCGGGCGTTTTCTTCCTTGTGTTACAGCGCCAGGCCTCCCTTCATACTGTGTGATGATGATGATGATGGTGGGTTGCAGTCTGTGTCACGACATTGATTGGGTCTGATTATTGGTATTCCAGACTTCCGCTGTGCTATCTTGCTTTATCCGAGAGAGGTCGGTTCTTGGTTCTGGTCTGCACTATCTGAGTATGAGACACTGGCACCGACACAGTTGCCTTATCCTGTCTACATACCAATCACTTTGAGAGGAGTCTTTTGCATGGCCATCAGCATGGTTGGACGCTCAGGTGAGCAAGGCTCACCTTGGTTGGTTTCTGTTCTATCACAATTTCCTCCTGTGCCTCCGCTGCCTTCCCCAATCTCCTCTCCTCTGTGAATAGTTGATATAGCCTCTCCCCACTTACACTCCCTCGCCACGTTTTCACAGTGTCATACCCCCCCTCACTGCTCAGCTCTTCTTTGTGTACGGGAATGTCCACTGCTTGAAACTTTCTGAAACAACACCTATTACAAGTAGATTGCTGATGCAGCACTGAATGCAGCACTGACATGCATTGACATGGCACATTTGCTGAGTTATGACATGGCCGATCATGAGGGTGTGGCTCTAGCTGAGCAAGAGTTGGAGGCTGATCTCTGCACATGCATGACAAGTAAGGTAGTGTTACGTGTGTTGTTGCCTTCATCTATATACTCTTACTGAAGAGCGCAGCGGGTCTCACGTGACACTTCCTTGAGGGTCGATTCGCAGTGTTGGGAAACCGGTCGGGACACAGGGGGTCGGGCCCAGCAGAAACCGCCACTCACGTGGCATGTTTTTTTGATGCGCACTGCCTTCCGGGGGACAGTGGCGCGATGCCGTTTTCTTTTGTTTTTCGACATGCGACGGGGCTCACGATTGTGCAAAATGAGAATGAATCTCACGCGCCCGACAGTTTTGCATGTCGGCACATGTTCGAATACACGTACAGAGGGCCTCACTGCACTACTCTCATGCCCGGAAGACAAACCATGGCGGTGTATCTTTCCACATTCTACAGGATGATTCATTCTCATTTTGCACATTTGGAGAGTAGTGCAGCGAAATCCCCTAGTGCAGTGTTGGTTTTTATTTGGTTGCAGATTCGGTACTTCGTTTTCAATAGATTTGTTTTTTTTTCCTTTTTCCGAAGACTCCTTTTTTCCCTTTTTCCGAGAGGGCCGGTGCTGTGCCACGCAAATGACAAAAATGAAAGACACAGGCGGCTTGGGTCTAGCTCTGACCAAATGTGCAAAAGGGGAACGAATCTCCCACTGGAACATGGGGATGCACTGCTGTTTTTTTAACCCTTTGTGATAGCTGTTTTTTTTCCCGCCTTTCTGAAGCCCCTGTTGGCCCTTGGCTCCAACACTCATCTGGTATGGAAAATACGAATGAATCTCCCGGAGGAACATGGGAAGATACACTGCAGTTTCTTTTTTTCGGGGGGGGGGGGGGGGGAGCTCATGGGTGCAGGTTAGGGTGTAGATTCGTTTTCTTTTGTCTTTTTTGCAAGAGGCGTTTGCCTTGGCTCCAGCGCTCACCAGATGATACGAATCTCTCAATCCAGGGGCCTAGCTCAGTTGGTAAGGCTCGCAAGTGGCACTCAGGAGGTAGTGAGTTCAATCCCCATTGGCCTCATGTCCCTTCCTGGGCATGCTCGGCGCCCACCACCTGGAGATAGACCACTGGATCCCCCGATCGGCATTGAGCAGAGTCTGCTAATGTTCGTAGGGGAGGGGACCTGACGGCGCAGGGATTGGTCCTGTTGGCACGGTCCCTGATGCTACTGGCTGTCCGCTGGCCACCTGCAGGCCGAGAGCAGCCCCCGCATGTTCTCTCGTGAGCACGGTTCTGGCTGCTACGGGGTTCCGTATGACTATGATAATTAGGAGTAGTGGTAGGTAGGTAGTGTGAGGTGAAATTGAGAGAAGAATGTGGCTTACTTTTAGGGAAAAGAAAAACAAAGAACAAATCTCCCTTCAGAACATGGAAAGATACACCGCTGTTTTTTTCTTTTGGGGTGGCCTCGTTTTTTGTTTCCTTTTTGGTAGCCCGCATTGGACCTTGGCTCCAGCACTCACCGAATGTGCAAAATATGAATGAAGGTCCAGTTGGAACATCTGGTTTTTTTTTTGGCGGGTGGCCTCCTGAGTGGAGGGACGTGGGGCATACGCTATGAGTTTCTTTGCTTTGTCTGTTCGTTTGTTTTTCCCTTCTGGATCGTGTTTTGCATGGGTCTCCCTGCCCTCCCTCCCTCCTCTGCCCCGCAGCTGTTTTTTTTTTTTTGGCGGGCTACCTCCTGAGTGGACGGGCTTGGGGCATACGCTATGAGTTTTTCTGTTCATTTGTTTTTCCCTTCTGGATCGTGTTTTGCATGGGTCTCCCTGCCCTCCCTCCCTCCTCTGCTTCGTCTTCTTCGGCACAGGGTCCACTTGCTATTATTAATTGGAAGATCTAGGGCGCTCTTGCCACTGTAAGTCCTAACAAATTATTATGCGACAGCATCTTGTAACGGATGGTGTGTCAGAGAAGTGCCAACCCGTCTACGGGTGGACTATGGGTTACCTTGTATAACACAAAAAAATGTATGACGCTTCCTGAGACAGGGTTGCTGTGTTGATCTGTTGTTTGTGATGCTCTGCAGCCGTACACATCCATCTTCCCGGCAACCTATGTTGGAACTGATTTGACAGATAGATCTCTGGGTGAGTGCATCATGTCCTCTCTTCGTCCCTGGCACAGTTACTCATCTTTGCTGTGTGATTAGTAACTCTTACTCTTGGGGCAAAGGCTTCTTCTTCGTATGAAGGCTGCTGCTGCTTTCTGAATGTCCCATTCTGCGCCAGGAGCACCTGTCTCAGGAGGGGAATAAGTGAGCTATAGTTATGATCTCGGCTTCCCGAACGCTGTCCGCAGGAGCTCTTTGCTGTGCATGTCATCCACATGACCTGTCCGAATAAAATGAAATGTTTAATTTCTTGTTTGATAAATATTAAATGTTATGACCCTGCCCCATTTCGAGATACACATCCACTGGAAAGTACAATGCCATCCAATTGCAGAAAGAAATGAATGAACTTGAGAGGAGAGAGAGGAGTAGAAGAAGAAGAAGCAAGAAAGAAGAAGAAGAAGTTGTACACCAGCAAAGACAATGACAAGGCTCTTCTTCTTCGCCCAACAATCTCCTCCTCCTTATCTCCCCCTTCTCTTATTCATACAAGAAATAATAATACAATGTTGAATGACTGGTCCAGAATCATGTCCGAGTCCCTCTTCTACTGCAGGTATCACTCAAGGTCCACCATAGCCATGGCCGCCTCTCCCACTCTTCACTGTCATAGGCCGAGGCTATGGCAGACTACTAGGCCTTGCTCAGATGTCCAAAGGACAACCCAGAGTAGCTATGGCTGCTCCAGCTCAGGCCGCCATGCCCAGCCCTGCCTTGAAGCTTCTTGGTGTAGCTTCCCCCGGCTGGGGACTCCTTGCTGCAGCGCCACCAAGGTGATGAAGATGGCTACCACCATAGCCAGGTAAGTACCCCTGGCGCTCCTCCCCCTTCCTCCTTCCTTCCTCCTTCTTCCTCCCTCTTGTCCTTCTTCTTCCTCCCCAGCAGCGCTGCTCCAGCTTAGCGCTGCTCCATCCAGCGCTCCTCGAGTGTGTCGCCAAACTTGCACACCGAAAATGAGGCCGGGTCTTCCGTCCGGCTGGAAGATATAGCGGCCTGCTTTGCCTCTTGGGCGGTGACTTCCAGGCCGCTGGCCTTCCCAAGCAACCGGTACCTCCTCCTCTTTTGGAGGGAACATCATTGCAGATTCTGATATTGCCCCTACAGGCCCTAGACTCAGACCGGTACCTGCTAGACCTAGCCTACACTATCGGCCTCTAAAAATGCCACTTTTGTCTTCTTCTGCTCGGCCTCTGGTACCTCCATATTTACCCCTCTGCTGGGTGCGGTACCGGCCTACCTGCTACTTGAGTGCTTTTTCCCCTGCTGCAACCCTTCAAGCCACGGCCACAGGTAAGTATCGGCCCTGAGGGCCCAACGAACGAACAAGTGCCCTGGCGGGCCACACACACACACACTCATACCAATCAGCATTCAGACAGTCACAGTCACACACGCAAGCCAACCAGCACTCAGACAGACATGCAGTCCAGCAAGCACACACGCACACAGACTTAGCAGGCGGGAACTCAGTAGGGCATTCAGTCTATTAGCAAAACTCAGAAATCAGCTGTGTGATTCAGTCCATGTTTGGATGGGATATCACATTATATATGAAAACAAAGAAAATGTTGTCCCACTCCTGCGCCTGGAGCACCTGTCTCAGGAGTGGAATAAGTGAGCTATGGTTGGGATCTCGGCTTTCTGAAAGGCTGTTCACAGCAGCTCTTCAGTGTGGATGTTATCCCCATGACCTGTCCGGATAAAAACGGAATATCAATTTCATGTTCCGGAAATCTGAAAATAATGCAATCGCTGGAAGAAAGAAATGCTATGCAGCATTTCAATGCAGAGTTGCAAATAACATTTTGGCTGAGAGTCATTTTGAAATTCCTAGCCGAAGTCGAGTTGGACAGGGAGTGTGGGTTGTCATATGTTATATCTCCTTTGACTTGCCGGTAAAAAATGAACCAAACTGAGGGCACACTTACACAAGGACGTTTCTGGATGTATGACCGCTTTTCCAACCTCCTGTGCCTGGATGCACCTAACCTCAATTGATTACAGAGAGGACTGGAAAATGTTGTTGTGCGAGGATTCCCTGACACTCCCCAGAATGGATATGGAGCCAGGTCATAAGGTCCTGGGTGGTGACGCCTGCACGGCACCTGTTTGAAGGCACGTTAGCGATTGCCTGTATCACTCTGATGGATACCTGACTGGGCAACTGGGCCGTGCGGACAACCAGGCCAGACTGGACAAATTAGCGCAAGGCAGGGTTGCATACCTGCCGACCGCCTACGGTTTTGCAGCCTACCAGTAGGTCCGACCAGTCAGTAAACAGCCATCCACTGATTGTTT